CACACACACACACTCACACACACACACACACACACACACACACACATACACACACACACACACACACATCCACACAAAGACGTGGGTCAAACTTGCTTCAATTGTCTGTTAAAATGTTTTGCTTAATTAAAACTAAAGTTTTTAACAGTTTCAGTTCAGATTCATACCACATTTTCCTGACCAAATCACTTTGGAAAATAAGTCACATCAGTACAAAGTAAATCAATAAATAAAATCATGAAGATGTAGTCGCTTCGAAGCATAAGTCGCACACGAAAGACAAGAGTACCTTCATGTGAATCATTTGCAATAACTGTAATGTTGTTTTATATTATTATTATTATTATTATTATTTTCATAGGAGTTCAGCTAAACAGCATCCACAGCAAGATAAAAATAAAGCTAAAAGCAAGGTACCAACAACAAGCTAACATTAGCTACCATTATTAAATTACTGTCCTCTGTGTTTTTCTGCCCTTTTGTCATTAGTGTCATACTGCTAAATGGTCTTCTTCAGTCTTTGGCACTTTTGCATTGAGTTTTATGTAGTCCATTATTGTCGTGTTGCAAAGAAAACAAAATAACATTTGCACATTTAAAATAGTTTGATCTCCGCTGGCGCCYACAGCGAGGTGACTCGCTGATCAATGCAAGCACAACCAAAGCCGGGCCCAGTGCATTTCAGCATGCAAGTTACTGGTAAGTTCATCCATCTCATTTCACGTCACTTGTCTTCTTTTATTTCAGTGCAGTAAGAGTAACCTCTTTTTTTTGGCAGTCCCTTGCAAGTTTTTCATTCCCTCCAAACTTTCTCTCTGCAGCTCCAACCATAGTTTTCACACCTCTTATAGCTGCAGGCATTAATGTTTACTCCTTGGCTCATGTTAGTCAGTATGAACTAAATGCATAATTCAAAAAATATTTCATGAAGAGGGGAAAAACAAAACAAAAGTCAAATTATAAAAAAAGTGTGACTCATTGTCCGGAAAATATATTACATATTTTTTGTTCGTCCAAATTACTTATTCTGCCTGGTATTAGAAAATAGCCCATGTTTACGTTCTGTAGAAACAATCATATATATATTTGTGAGTCTAAAGATAGAAATACAGCTAAATGCAAAATGTGAGTTTAAAAATCGCAGCTTTTTGATTAAAAAATGTTTCAATGTTTTTGTAAGAATGGACATCATTCAATCTCCCTCAAAACTAGTAACGCCAAGAGAAAATATAAAACAAAGCTATCAGTCTATTATTGTTTGTTTTCAGGCTTGTTTGTGATAGGAAGAAAAGCAGGACATAATGGTCCATTTTGCTTTCTAGATCATTTCTTGGAAAGCCCTAGCCAGTGTGTCACTCAGATGATGAGTGCAGGAAGAAATTTATCATTTACATCAGCAGAAATTTCTTCCTTGTTTTCTTCCATTATTTAGTAGCTCATTGCTCCCCTGGGCAG